TAGGAGAACGCGCGATTGGAGCACGATATTTGTGTCGGCTTTGATTGCGACAAGGGTTTTGAAGCTTGATAGCCATGGATTTGATTATGAACGAGGAAATGGTAACCAGAAGTGGACCGCTAACTAGCAGTGAAGAGGGAGGTAGGTTATTTTTGCAGAGATGGATGGTAGAGCTTCTGGAGAACCTGGAGGAATGGTTGATGGACGTTTGATGAGACGACTGTAAACTTCTGCATAGGGGTTATTTGGGGCCCTGATCATGAATATGACACTCATTTTTCACATTCGTGCTGTTTAACGCATACTTTCTGCTTTCTAAGCTTTCTCACCTACAGCGCCGACTAAGCTTAGGGGAGGGGAGTGAAACTCCGGAGTGGGTAAACCACGCACCGTGTGGCAAAAGTTGGAGTGTGTCAGACCACAGGGGAATGGCCTACCCACTTTGGAGCCCTACACTACTCAAAGGCTTAGTCCTATTGCGATCTAATTAGTGCGAGGGCGCAGACGAGCAGGAAGCAGGCGCCGAATAGCGCTAACAACAAATCAGGACCCCGAATAACCCCTATACAGAAGTTTACAGCGAATTTAGTGGGAATCAGTTGTGGCGCCACCCGGCCCCAAATGGCGCCAGCGTCAAAAATGAGTATCATATCCGTGATGAGGACAGAAGCGTTCCGTAAAAGATGTTATACCCTTATGCAGATGTCTATACAACAATATGAACCCACAAAATGCAAGCACAAGCGACACTATTAAACCCTCGTTCACCGATAATTCGTAAAACACCATTTGTGTGGCATCGCCCGGAATCGTGTAAGTCACAAAACGTTTTCAATAATGAGACAGAATTAGTGATTCACCGCATTTATCAATACAATGGGTGTGAGCGCGGGCAAGTAAGGAATCAGAAACTTACAAATTCACGCATGCAAAAAAGCTGCTCCAATCGCGCGTTCTTCCATACCGTAGTTGTTTTCGCTGCGGGTGCGCCAGCCTGCCGCGCGATGTCGCGTTGCGAAGAGCGAAAAAGTCGCGTTCTGTCCTAAGTACCCACACCCCGCACGCATAGTCGGTCGGGCGACAGCAAAGATCGCAACTGTCGCACAGCA